CAACTTTAATTCTAACATTTTGGCGGTACACAATTAGTAAGTAACCAATGCGGAAATAAATCCTTTTGATTTTTAAAAGTACATGAAAATACGACAGGAAAATAATATATATATATATATATATTTTACCCGTCGTATTTTTTCAGTAGTTGGCAGGTAGGGTTTGATTATATTCTAAGAGAGACGCTGCTACCCATCCCTCGACCATAAGTCCCTTAGTCGCCTCTTACGATCACACGGCAAATTAGTATATATATATATTAAATATCTATCTATTTATTATGTCGAAGTTTTTCCAAGAGACTACAAACAAGGGTTCTTCAAAAAGGGGATAAAGAGAGGTTTCTTTGGATCAGCAATGCGTGTGTATTGCAGGTGTTCATAGGCTACAGTTACCACTTACGATTAGGTGAGCCGTATGCATGTTTGCTACCTCAGTGGTAAAAAAAAATATAATATCAAAGTAAAGAACCTGATCAAAATAAATATATAACAATTTATTTTTAATAGTAGCCTGCCAAACACGTTAGAAGCGGCATAGATATATTTGGAGTCGGGTTAAATAATATAATTTTATATGTAAGCACTAGGGCTGTAACATTGATTTGATTTTCACTGTTATGATGTTATAATTATTTTAGATTTAGATTTGTTTAGATTTGTTTATTTGTGAGAACATTGTTTTTTACAGATATTGATCTATTAGGTGAAGTACAACTGTTCGCCTTATATTCTAAAGCATGCAAAATTATTATTGGGTTTTAATGAATAAATAAATATATTTTCGACTGGTATGGGCTGTATGGAAATGGGTGATGACCTTTTTTCTGCTATTAATGTTAAGAATATTATGTACAGATATCGGAGCGGCACCGGTATTATAAAATGTTACTAACAAAGAGGCCGTAGTTGTCAAAATAAAGATATTTTATTATATTATTATTATTACTCATATTTACTAACATACAAAAATATACAATCGAATTGAGCACCATCTCCTTTTGACATCGGTTGATTATAACTCCAACACGAAATAACTCATATGGGACCCTTGAATCGGAATTGTGGTATGGGGAATCAATTAACTACATAGCTACGGTTGTTCGGACATGTAACACGGGATAACCGATCGACAGCACGATGACGTGTGATATTTTATTACATTCCGTCTTCAGGAACGATATTCACTATTATTATGCCAATATATTTTCCAGTAACTTGCCAATATACGTTATTTTCGCTTGCCTGTAAAATATGTTATTTTACGGAATATATCTATTGCCTATAAAGTAGTAATTCTACTAGTATTTTTAAATGAATTCTATAAGTAAGTTCTCAATTCGTCGTTTTTTTTATACCACTGAGGCGGCAAATAAGAATGCGGTCCATCTGATGGTAAGCGGTTATGTTAAGCTATGAACGCAGATGTTGCCAACTCTGAAGAAACCTCTTTATTTCTTTTTTTTTTTAAAAACCCCATGCTGTAATGTATTGGAGAAATCTCGACCGCGAGCTCATTCTATAACCTGAGCATTCGTGAGATTACAAGACGATTTTTATAATTTTTTAGCAAAATCTTAAACTACGTATTATTTTTCTTATCCTACATAGAGACGAATAAATAAATACTGATATGTAAATACAGAAGAAACAAAATACGAAACTGTTTATCTACATTACAACATAAATAGTTGAGCAAAAAGTGTTTTGATTCTGTTTCTAGGTACAATTATGACATTTCAGATATGAACTCTCATTTGTGTCATAAACTTCGAGTTTTTCACGATAAGAACTTTGCTCACAATACGAGTTTTATTATTTTTAAACGACTTCAAAAGGAGACTCTCAATTTGGTTATATTTTTTATATTTGTCATTTCATATCTCCGTCAGTTATAAACCGATTTGGATTTTTTTTTATCTGAAAGGAGTTACTTACAGAAATAGAATAGGTCCCATAGAAATTTTGTCAAAATGGCTTAGCAAATTTAGCAAATCAATCTTTTCAATTACCATATATTAATAACAATAAACAAAGTAAATTCATAAAATTCCCATTACACGTACATATATATCACATACGAGTTTTATTCGAAAAGTTTTTTTTACTGAATTTTTCGTTTTATTTATGCTTATTATGATTTATGGTGACCATACCATAAATCATATAAATTTTTACATTATATACCCTTATTATATCTACTTGTGATAATACGATAATAATAATATTGATGATACCCAATAAATCATTTGGTTGCTACGAGTGATTATATAGTATATTACTGCAGCGGCCAGCAACTGAGGCATTGATGGACGACCATGCAAATGTGGGCCGAGGCGTAGCCGAGGCACACATACGTGAGTCCATTAATGTCTAGTTGTGGCCAAGGCTTGTATAGTACTTTTCTCAAACAATGCGCGGAAATCAAAAACACAATTTTACTTTTTAAGTTCAATGACTAATAACGAACAATAATAATTTTTCACGCGCTATAATGTTCTTCGTTTTTTTTTTTCAATTAACAGCTTTCTATTTGCAAGCCAGTTCGAAATTCAAATAAAACCTTTTACTAGTCACCTCCTTGGTAGCCATGTTTCGAAGTAAAAAGTCACTCCATTGTTAAATTACAGGACAGATATGAGTTAACATAGTAATTTATCTGGCCGCAAAACACGACAGATATGGATTTTCATACAACTGTTGCCGGCCGCTGCCCGCATGTATCTGGCCAGTACGGCAATTTTGATTTATCTCTAAGAAGATTGTCAAAATAATGCTCACATTTCCGAGCATGTTTGAGAAAAAATATTGCCTACTGATAACAATACACTTTTTTGGGTAGTCGAGTAAAAACCTGGGTTCTCATTTATACTGTAGATGTTATGTATATTAATATTCTTCTCAATACCTCTAGTCAACAAAATGTAAATAAACTATCTAATATTTTAGTCATTAGTCATTTATTCAAAAAACATTGTATATTGTGTCTGAAATTATGTATGATCATACAAAAAGCATCAAATTCAATATTACAAGTATTGAATAACAATAATAAATCTATTTCATAATCCAAATGTCAACTTCATCCATTATAATTTTTTGTTTTAAAATTAGTTTTTATTAATCCTTAATAAATATTTCGTTGTAATATCAAATTGAAATTTTAATTTTAAAGTTAGGTTTAAGGTTTAGAAAAATGGCGTATTAAAATCAATTCTTTTATATCAATATACTTCTAGATAAAGTTGGTAACAACCACTGCCTACTTACATATTTCCTAATATTTTACATCTAACCCGATCTTCCAACATGCAAACTAAAATATAATTTTTAGTTTTCTGATGTTAAAAACTTTGTTTTCTTATGAATTTCCTCTTTCCAAATTTCATCTTTCAAAAAGACGCTGACGCGTTACCCCTTTCATCAATCACGGAATGACTTTTTACTCGTCGCCTAGTTCAAGTTACAGCGTTAAGGAACTCGGCTACCTAAAAATAATGGTCTCTAAAATATCAGGGTGTCCTATTACGTGCAAATATGTACGCATATTAAGAGTCAAGTTAGTCTAGGATAGATAGATAGATACTCTTTATTGTTTCCTCCAAAAGATTACAATAGTAAACTTATTATAAATATAAACAATTACAAGAAATAATCACAATGAGAAAACAATGGGCGACTTTATCGATAAAAGCGATCTCTTCCAGGCAACGTTTGGATCGAGAGGAGTAATTACAATAAAACAGTTTGATCTGAGGCACGATGAAAATTCTATCATTTCTAAATATGGAGATGTGATGCATGTAATAATGTAAATATATATCCCTACTCGGATCCCTAATAGGATAGTGTGCTTTGATGTGATAGTGCTGTTAAGCAGGTACTCTCTGGAAGTATTAAAATAAAATAATGCCTTTATTTTTTTTATTTTTTTATTTAATTATTTATAATATTATGTTTATTGGAATTTTTAATCTTAAATCAGCCATTAACTGACTACCACTGTACATAGGCCTTCACCATAAGAAGTTTTTTGCCAGTAGTTAGAACGCTTGACAGGCGCGTTGGCAGCTGCAGCTAGGCTTTTGGTGATATTTTAAAAGGGATGCTGCTACCCATCTCTCGACTAATAAGCTTTGTTACTAAGTTGCCTTTCATAACATCCACGGGAAGGGAAAGGGTAGACCATTCTATGCCAGGACTATATGATAAATTTAATTATTAAAATTAATAGGTACTAATAAAGCCTTTACTGTTATACATATTTTACAACTTTTTACAATCTTTATTTATTATGAGGAGTTTTTAGAATACCGCTTGATAGGAAACAGGCTTTACTAAAGTAACCTTAAAATAAAAAGTAATTACAATTATGTTTACGACTGTTATTTATTTATTAAAGATATATGTTGACTGTTGCCATTAGAGTAAAAGTATTATTATTCCATTTACCCACATTTTATTGATAACATTCAAAATCTAAATTTGCAGTCCACGATCATATTTCAAATTTATTTGTTTGTTATACTGTGTTTGCCATTACAGGAGTTAGTTTTAGTACAATTAGTTGGATAGTAGATTGTGACACATGTTTTTTTTTTTTATTCGACGGAATTTAATATCTCGACATGTAGCTGTATAAATAATGTTCGTGGTTTAAAAAACTATACATCTCTATTATACTATATTGTAATACTTATGTAAATGTAGTGAGTTTTTTTAATGGATGAAAATGAAATAGTAACGCCGCCTGCGTTATTGGTATACGCTGGCAGGGCACCAGTGAGGGATGATAGGTGAAAATGAAGGTAGGTCAGTTGACCCATTGTGAAGAATTCAATAGGAAATAACCTCGATAGTTTCCAGGAGAAACCGCGTGGAGGTTGACCTGATAGAGTATATTGTTAGCAATGAGGTTGTTATAACCCATTACTGATAAACCCTTTCCCCCCAATGTAGTGAGTTGTAGATATATATTTATGTTATCTTTTTTATTTCAGAGTTCGGGTGTTGATAAGCGTACATTGGCGAATGCTGAACGAAGGCAGAAAACCTTCACTGATAGATCCCAGCTCAAGTTCGCAAGGAGGCTCGTTGTGAAGCTTGGTAGTGCTGTCATCACCAGGGAGGATGGAAACGGGCTCGCGTTGGGTCGACTTGCATCCATCGTTGAACAGGTATCTATAACAAAAAATTTACTTAAGAAAAAATTTACTTACCATTTAGATTTACAGTACAAATTAAGGTAATTTTTGATTTAATGCTTTTTATTTTGATTCGTATATAGGACACATAACAACTTTAATTAAAATTGTGTCGAAAAAATCGATTTCAATTGTGATAAAACCAATTATTTTGATTTAAACCTAAACTACTAAACTGATTTTGACAAAAATTCTAGGGGATCAATCTGTGAGCATATCATTTCAGATAGAAAACAATATTTTTCCAAGTCGGTTTAGAACTGATAGAGTTATGAGGTAATAAACATGAAAAAATACATCTGAAATTAGAACCTCCTTCTTTCTAAAGTCTCTTGAAAAATAAGGCAAGGTAAACTTGAACATTTTCATGAATATGTCTTTTAAATGTTTACCTTATACTCTTTTATTTTGAAGTAAAAATAGTAACTTGTGTAGTTCGTGTGTTCTAATAGTCTTATCTAATATTTAGCGCGTACAAAATACTGTGCAAAGAGTGATAGAAAGTGACATAGTTTTGTCTATTGTTCTGTTTCAAATAGTTTTTATCTTAGATTTTGAATTTAGAAACGTCTCAGGGAAAGAGACTGATTGCGTTGTCATTGCCTCATTTTTACATTAGGTACCCTCGCAGCTGCCTTAATCACTTCCAAAGCTCTCACCGCTGTCTCGGATCTGTATCGCTTCATTGAAATCCGCTGCCATTAATTTCCAATTCACTTTGGAAACACTCTTTGAAAACACATTTCCATTTTATCAATGACTTGTCGAATTGACACTCGAAATTGTCTTTTCATTCATTATTGAAGAGAAATGAACAATTTATTTCTGTAGATACAAAAAGTAGTCATTTAATACAATTTACTAATAAAGAAATTTATAAAATTAAATATTCTATATGTACTATACTATTGAAATTAAAAGTTTTTCGTAAGAAACACATTACAAATGTGTTTCTTCTTTTTATATAAGTTACACTAATATTACAATTTTAATGAGTACAGTAGTTATGGTTTTAAAACTGGGCTCCTAAATAGGTTAATATAACCTATAATAACCTGTGTTAAGGGGCCACAGCCCACCCCCTTTAGTATTATGGGGTAATTAATATTTATACAATATAACCAAAATAAAGTTGTAAAGAAGATATCATATTATTGTTAAGAAATAAAATGATATTCGATTAAAATACTATCTATATTATATAAAACATTTTATAAAGAGGAAAGATTTGTTTGTTTGCTTACAATAGACAAAGTTAAAAATTACTTAACCGATTTTAAAATAAAAATGTAAATTACTTCATCCATAGAAAGCTACATTATCAACAAGAACTCTTACGAACACTCAGGCTGTGGAATGAGCTCCCTGCTGAGGTTTTCTCAAGAGACTACAGCATGGGGTTCTTCAAAAGGGGGGTAAAGAGGTTTCTTCAGGGTAGGCAACGCACGCGTAATACCTCTGGTATTGCAGGTGTTCATAGGCTATGATAACCACTTACCATCAGGTGGGCCGTATGCTTGTTTGCCGCCTCAGTGGTATAAAAAAAAAGTAATATTATTTTCTAAAAATTCTATCTACCCAAGTAAAGCCGGGTCAGATTGCTAGTAATTTATAACTCCGCATTATCTATTTGAATAAATAAACATTTACCTGAGTTTGTTGCTCGTATACCTGCCATTAATATTCGTATAACAATCCATGCGGCATTCGGATATACAAATCAACGTTTCCAAAAGTAATCTGATTTGGTAGGCATAATGATGGACGATCTAATTTACATATTTATTTATCATGATATAAATAAAATTGCATTTATAATTCAATGTAATATAACAATTAAAATATAATCAATTCTTTAAAACTTATGAATACTTTTTAAAATGATTTATTTATCCTATTTAACACCTGCGCTCTTGTCGGTGGAGTTCTTGCCACTCACTACGATTTTCAGCGTGTCTCTTCACCTCTTGATACGACACGACACCAACTCCTTCCTTGATCTGCCTGATGTAACTATGCTTTGGTCTCCCTCTTCTACCAAGAATACCACTTGATGATCAATTACTGATTAAGTGATCACATGGACATTTAAATTGTTGTAAGTCTTACGCCGTATGCCTTTTTAAGCAAGCTATATATACAGGAAACACTTGTCAATATAATTGATACAAATTTAGAACGGCAAGTTATTGAAAAAATGGGAGAGGCCGTGGCTGTCATCAGTTTTCATTACCGCTAAAAGACGTTTTTGCGTCGCAAATTAAATTTTATCACGTGAAGCAAGGAATGTGATTACGGACAGAGGCCGTTGGTATTAAATTATATCTACCTAACTTATCCATATTAAAAGATATTCACGCTTAAACTCTGTAAAGTCTGTATTAGTTTGTTCTAGTTTGATGAATAGTTTCATATCACTGACATACATTCTTAGTAATATTATAAACTAGCTGAAGCCCGCGACTTTGTCCGCGTGGTATTTGTTATTGCTGTTTAGTATGTATCGATGTATGTACCTACCTATTTATTAGGTCTGAGAATACTGGACCAAAATTAACAAATGACGTGTCGTTCTCACTTTTTGCTTTATGTCAAAACGTTACTTAAGCAGGTTGTGTACTAAGCTGTATAAGTTACTATAGTTTTTTAATTATAATACGAGAACTCTTTAATTTTCCGTGATTAAAAGTATCTAAAATGTTGACCATGAATGTAAGGTACCATCATTCAAAACTTCATTAAATCAGACCAACAGTTTCGGAGATAAACCCGTACAAGCAGACGGACAGAGAAACAAAAATTTATAAAAATCAGGATGTGTTCTATTTCACTTCTAATCCCCCTCAGTTTTTAGCATTTTTTTCTATATACAGTCATTCAACCTCTACAATTTTATTATATGTAAGAGGTAACAAATGACCAAACTCATTTTCACGAGTTTGGTCATTTGTTACCTCTTGATGCATTAGCTGCATAGGTTACTTTTTATCCTGATGAGTGAAAATAACTTAGTTACAAGAACAAAGTCGCGGATAACAGCTAGTTGTGATATATAATTCTGAGTCATAGTAGCCAGAAATTACTATCTGTCATTCAGGGTCAAGGTCATTATCGGTCTCATATTTAAGATTTTCACGTCACAAGAACTTGTGAATGATTTCTTTGGTATTGTAATTGTTCGTAGGTTGTTGTGGTTACCTTTAAGCACAGCGCATGGTTGATTACCACATTTCCAGTTTTTAAAAAAAAACTAGAAATAGCATACAATTTAATGACCTAATGGAATAGTTGTCGTGTGCATGTATATTACAAAGTATACTGCGATATCCAAGGCAGCTTTGTCATGCATTTGTACTATGTAATTTTGCTAAAATATCAAGTCTGTCAAACTGAAATCCAACCATGCAAAAATAGTTGTATGGCGACAGAAACACTAGAGAGAAAGGAGTACTCATACTGATAACTATTATGCCAAGTCTTACTTTGGTATATTTTCTTTGTATAAAAAATAAAATTAAAATTATATCACTATTTTGTAGGTCGCCGAGTGCCATCATGAAGGACGAGAATGTATCATGGTGACCAGTGGAGCTGTCGCTTTCGGCAGACAGAAATTGACCCAGGAGCTGCTGATGTCATTGTCGATGAGGGAGACTCTATCCCCGAGCGATCATACTAGAGAGGTAATCGTATATATTTTTGAAAACCATTACTGACGCTTCATCTTAACAGATTCAGAACAACATTCCAAATTGAGTAGTAAAATAATAAAAAAAAAAAATATTATATATATATATATACATATATAGCTCAACATAGACGTAATTTGACTATGTATTAATGGAATATAGGCTCTATGTTTTCCTAAAAATAAATAAATAAATAATAAGTATATCTGCATAAATAACAGTTCTGCTTTACATACACATGCAGATATCAGACAATATATAAAAAAAAATCTTTATTTCTCTTGCAATACAATGGGGATAGATTGAAGAGAGGCAGTGGCTTGGTGGAATCTCTACTGAGAATATTAAACAATAAAGGGTATCTATTTATCTATCTAAACAGTATAATAATATAGCAGTCAGATAATATGGATTATTAAATTTGTTATCTTTTATTGATAATTATATTTAATTGTTCAGGATGCTGGCAGCATCTTAGACCCAAGAGCGGCGGCTGCAGTGGGCCAGTCCGAGCTGATGTCAATGTACGACGCCATGTTTTCACAGTACAACGTTAAAATTGCACAGGTATGATTCTTAATCCATTTTATTATTATTTTTAAATAATATAAACAAAATTTTTATCGGTGTTTGTTTGTTTCTCCGCTTACTTCTTTTACACCGCGCAAAAGATTTTTTATAAGGGCTTTATTGTGAATCAAAAACTTTTTTATGGTCGGTTTGTATATCTAGCTACAAATTTACAAAAAAATATTATAATATTTTAGTTATGTTTATAAGTTTATGTAAGAATTAAATCATTATTATTATTATTGCACCTTCATTAAACTTTTATTAATTAGTAACATTGCATTCGCACGGTGAAGTCAAAACAAGTCTTAAATTCCAGTTTAAATTCCAAATAAGAAATTTTATAAATTATTTTAGAATTATGGACGATTTATGTTTTTATTTAAGCAAAGTAAATCCTTCAAGTAAATAAAAGGACAAGTGATGAACAATATTATTTCAAGCTGTGACTATTTATATTTTTGTGTGAATATTCGTATATAAGATTAAATTCCGGTAGAAATACATTTTGAAAAATAAATTTTATGTGAAAATCTCCGAATAAATTTTAATTAAAATGATCTAACACTAATTATAAGATTGCTGCTTTTATTAAAAATAATAATTGTTATTTTTAATTCTGTGAAGATTAATAAACGTAATAGACTACTTCCCCGAAATTATGGATTTGAACAACAAAAAAATCTTGGAAATCTTTCATAGAATTAAGAAGCAATAAAGATAATTAAATTTTATAGAATAAAACATAACATCATGTAGTTATTTTATGACACTTACTTTCTATTTTTACAATTATTTGAAATTAACAAGCATGTCTGTAGACTATTAAAATATTAATTTCATAATGATTTTTTTTATGTTGTCTGATGATGAATAAAAATTAAGCGTTATAATAGTAAAATAAAAAAAAAATATTATTCACTTTGACTTGCTTCAACTTTTTGGTCATGACACATTTCACTCCAACTGTATTCGAAACAAAAAATATTCTATATAAAAATGATACCTAAAGAAAGAAAGAAAGAAAGAAAGAAAGAAAAAACTTTATTTTACAAGAAATATGCGACGGCACCCACACAGGGGTTAAAAAAAATCCATATATTAAGAATTATAATAAAGAAACAACACAAAAAAATATTTATAAAAAAAAAAAATAAAGGTTATAATATTATTGTCATGAATATTCTGTAAAGATTTCATGAAATGTATATATGCATTTTAAATTTAATTTAATATTCCGCGAGAGTAGCATTTGCATAAAAAATAATAAAAACACTTAACCTTGCACATCTGCAATGCTAATTTCCAGCACAATGCGGTTACATATATTTTTAAAATTTCTCTTGTAGTTTTGTAGCTATGCAAAATATAAACAAAAGTTTATCATTAATTGATCATAATTATATCAACCTATATATAATGATTTAACATATTGACTCATCTTTAGAACGTTAGGTATTCAGTCTTACATAATATCAGTAAACGTTTTGTATTTATGAGTGTATTTTTTGTATTAGACTGAGTATTTTTGTGTATTTTATATACGACCAGTAGGCTAATGTCCTCTCTTTACGGGGAATTGTGCCCAAAAGTGCGATTTTAACAAGATATTATGACAACGATGATATTTCACAAATGAGATACCATAAATAATACATAAATAAGATTTTATGCCCATCAGTTTTCTAATATCTGTAGTACAAATTTAGCTTAGTTTGGAACTAAATATGGTTGTTTTATATAATTATTCACTAATAATTATTCATATAATTTCTTTTTCATGTTAATAAAACAACCTTATTTACTAGATAAATACAAAAAGTCATATTTTCTATCGGTTTCTATATATAGGCTTAACGAGTAATCTGTTTAATTTTCCGTTAAATAACTTTATCATAAAGGCAGTAGTCCGGCACATTAACAAATGTAAACTTCGCCATTTTATGCTTTCAAATTAAATTGGAACGTTAATTTTAACAAAAGAGTAATATATAAGCATATTTTAATCCATCCCTTGTATAAAGGAATGTCGATTTAATTCGAAATCGGTTTACGAAAGAGGTTAAACAAATTTCGTAACGTGACCTCTTGGTTCTAACTCTATTTAATTTTCTTGGGAAATTTAGAGAACTTTACAGGTTGGTTTATGAAAAATATATTCATCATCACCGTTCGACGCGATTTCGTGAGTGTATTTTCGTAAGATTTCATAGAAACATTTTCAAAGTTCTCCGCTTCGCCTCCTTCGGTGTGGATAAGTGCGCGTTCACCATTAATACTGTTAAAGCTTCAGAGTTCGTTAGTTTCAGGAATAATGGGGTTTGAACTGACATCGTGTCCTTTTGCATTTTACTCTTAAGCGATATTGCAGCGTTCGTTCAATATATACGTATTTATAAAGTTCCCTGTACGAGTATCTACGCGAGATATTTATTATTCAGCGCGTGAACGGCACGTTGAGGTCTTAAAGGCCGCAGTACTTTTATTATATAACAATGAACTTTATTTAATATATATTTAAATAAAGAATGGGATAAAATAATCAATAATAAATTTATTTGTATTAAATAGGGTAGATATCGGTGGTCTTACGTTATATGTATTAAGTCTCGAGCCCATTTATCCATTTACAGAATAGTATGCAAATGACACATTTTGGTAGGATCTGATTATTAATTCATGCATCGACAACAACTATACTAGATATTTATCTATTCTTTTAAAAAAAAATCGTCTACCGAGTAAAAGCTTTTGTTAAGTAGCCAGTTACGTAATTTTATTTTAAATTTGTTTAATGGAAGTTCTTTTGTTTAATTTAAGGATTTTTTAATAAACGGCTGTTTTAAAAATTGTATTAGTGACTAATTATTGAGAGTGTCTTGCGATTCTTTGTATAATAAATAACTTCTGTATGATAAATTGTGTATAGTAGATACGAAATTGTATGGAAAGATATAAAGTTATTTATTACTAAACTACACGTTTATTTAGAACGTCTAACTTAGAGTAATAATATGTTAGTAATTTAACTTTGCGAAACACTCCTAATTCAATATAAGTTCTTTGTTCATCAGAATTTATTAGATCTGGCTTTCTGTGCCTAGGCCATTATTTAAACTAGACATTATGAATTGAAATAAACGAAACCAAGGGTATAGCTTTTTATACTCTAATAATGAATGGTATTAAATTATACGGCCTTAAAAAGCATTTTCATTATTTACATTTGACAGTTGTTATTAAAACTTTTAAATAATGTACTGAAATTATTAGTTATATACAATATTATGATAGTTTTGCTACAGATAAAAAAATATTTAAATTATTTCCTCAATTGAGTGTTATTTTATAATTTTTAGTCATACTTACACAGTGTTAAACGATAGGGAAGAACGGTTCTTGAATAGTGACTTCGTGTAGGAGAAGTATAATATGTAGGCAACACCTCGTGAGATTTATTTTTTTGTACAAGTTAGAACGACAAATAAGCTGACGGCCCACCTGATGTATACTGTTTCGCCCATTATACTCCTTATGCGTTGCCATTCCTGAGGACTCAGGTGTTATTCCTCTGTACACTGTGAACTCACGGCTATATCCATATGGAGCGATGTTCTCAAAAGTATTGCATGGAGTTGTTGGTTGCAAGTATTTTGTATGTATTTTGTGGTGAAATAAGGGAGACACCTATGTTTAACAGTGAGTAATGGATGGGTTGTAATAATGAAGATAATAATAGTCCTTGTTGTTTGATTTTGTTAGCGATATATGTATAAGTATAATAAAAATTTAAATAAAAGCTATAAGCCTAATTAATTTTATGATATAGGTATGGCTACATGAAAAAGAAGATATATTTTCTGTTAAATAATTTCAACAAATTGGAAACAAACTAAACAACGACAATAAAATTCAAAAATTTCAAACAATCTCCAAATATCAACGCAAAAATCTTGGGTATGGATAACATACACCGATCCTAAAATTTATATAATTTGGATAAGGGTAGGAAGATGATGGCATTTCGACAAATTTTTTGAGTTTGTTGCAAATGCGTTTGGCTATCTGAGGGTATAAATTTTAATATTTATTGACTTTACTGTCATTACACAAATATATACAAACACAAATAAAGAGGGAGAGAGAAAGAGTGTTTGAAAACCCAAAACCCTTATCTCCGGATACTCCAAAATTTATTATGCTGGCATTCCAAACAAATAAAGCTACCCATTGACCAAAACCCCTCTTTAACTTCCATGATTGTTGTAAAGCAATTTTCCATCCCATCTGCCTCATCTGTCATTATTAAATTCATTTTCTCAATTTTGTTTATACTTTGTTTATAAAATAAAATATCAAATTGATGGATCGCTGATATATTAGATACGGTTTATTTATTTTATTTTAAATACATATCTTTATAGAACTTTATGGAATCTTGTAAAAAAAATAATTTAATTACCTATAGGTTATTATCATTATTGGCCGTTAACTGTCCACTGCTGAATATAGGCCTTCCCCATAAAGGAGATTTCTCCAGTAATTTCCACGCTTGGCAAACGGGTTGGCAACCGCAGTTAGGCTTTGGTGATGTTTAGGAGTAATGCTGCTGCCTATCCCTCGATAATTAAGTTCTCTTAGTCGCCTTTTATACAATCCACGGAAAAGAAGGGGTGGTTCATTTTATATAGTATTATTATATTATATAATGATATTCTAAACCAGCCTTTACCAAAGTGGGCGATAACGCCCCCTTGTGGGCGCTGCAGGTTTAAAGGGGGGGGGGGCGGCAAGAGATCCAAAAAACATTGATTAATTTACACAATTTACACAATAATTGATTAATTTAATTTGAAGTAATAGTGGTTTTTATGTAGATAAAAAAATGGGGGCGCTAAAAATAATTTATTCTCAAAGTGGGCAGTAGACAAAATAAGTTTGGGAACCCCTGTTCTAAACTAAGCAAAGGTTGTATTAGATACGTAATGAGAAAAGCTGTCTACGAAGGTATTTCATCTATATATATTTTTATTTCTAGAAATACTTATTAAATATTTATTATAGCAAGTGTGAAAAATATTTATTAAAATAATAATAATTTTATCATTTGATAAATATAATAAATAACCTACCTACTGTTATTTTTTGATTACGTTATCTGGCCGATACTTTGTACGAGCACTTTGGCCCTTACAGATTTAAATGGTAATTGAGGCAAGGACAGTGTATGATTTCATATTATTATTTTTAACCTACTTTTAAAAAATAATTATTTCTGTGTTTGACTGTATTTTTTTTTATCTCAATATATTTTTTTACGATAAATATTAATTTATTATTATTATTCACATAATTTCGAGATAGTTATTTTATTAATATTGTTTTCTAAATGACTTATTAAAAGGCTACCTGAATAGGTGTTATGTTAATTTATTTGTTAAGTGAATCCTTAAGTTATTAATAAAAATATTGAACAATTTAAAATGTTTTATTTTGGCAGGTACTAGTAACTAAACCTGACTTCTACAACGAAGAAACCAGGAAGAATTTGTTCTGTACGTTATCAGAGTTGATATCGTTGAATATCGTGCCAATTGTGAATACAAACGACGCTGTAAGCCCGCCGATGTACATACACGATGATACCGTGGTGCCTGGAACTGGGAAAAAGGTAAAAATAAACTTTGTATTCAAATGAATAAAAATAAAAATACATGTAGAAACAAACAGTATTACTTGTTTGAATGTTGTTTTGAAATCATTATAAGTCGTAGTTTTATTTACTTTTATATGATAAGTAAACAAACATCTAAAAGTTTTTACATATTTCAGTATTTAAATTACCTACAATAAATTTGTATAAGTAAGATATGCTTCTATCAATAGACCTATGGTTTATTCTATTCAGTGATACAGTAACTATCTAACCACCAAAATCAGTATAATAGACTAATTTCATAATTAATACACTTTTAAAAATTCTCAGTAAACAATAAATTTAAGTTCTACTTAATATTTTTATTTTGTCCCAGGGTATTGGTATAAAGGACAACGACAGTCTCTCGGCATTGCTAGCTGCAGAGATTCAGTCAGATTTGCTTATTATGATGTCAGATGTCGATGGTATCTACAATAAGCCACCATGGGAAGATGGTGCCAGAATGATGCATACCTACACCTCTAAGGAACAAGTCCAGTTTGGACAGAAATCTAAGGTGCAGTATTTCTTTGTCTATAAGTATAATTATGTTAGAGCTAGTATATCATATTTATTTCTTACTAGCTATATTTTACGTCTTTGCTTGCATGAATCCATAAATAATCTAGTTGTGTACCAAATTTCATTAAAATCCGTTTAGTAGTTTTTGCGTAAAAAACTAACATCCATTCATCTATCCTTGCAAACTTTTGTATTGGTATTATTAATAGAATTTTCAATTAAGAATATTTATAATATTTAAATTATTTTAAAATATATGACAGAAAGTTGGCTCGGTAACTCTGTTTCTAAAATGATATCCTCGCATCTGTGTTACTCCGAAATTCAATAATAACTGTGACAACTATCGGATAATTGAATAATTATTAAGATTCTGAAAAGTTAAAATTTATTTATTCAGCAGTTTTTTCTATAAGTCGTTCAGTAACAGGAGACGAATTTAGAATTAATTGGATTATTTTTTTAAATGTATCAACTCAAAATTGTATTCATAGGTTGGCACAGGAGGAATGGATTCCAAAGTAAATGCAGCTACTTGGGCTATGGCTCGAGGTGTAAGTGTTGTTATTTGTAATGGTATGCAAGAAAAAGCAATCAAGACCATTATCAGTGGTAGAAAAGTTGGAACATTCTTTACCGATCATGTAACTAGCTCATCTACATCTGTAGATATTATGGCAGAAAATGGTAAGTATAAATATTTATTATAAATATTGTATGGAAAGAAATGAAATGACATTTATTCGTAAAAAACATAACTGTAGTTTCTTAACTAATATTAACATTATAGTTTTATAAGGATACAGTAGTTGTAGTTTTAGAACTGGGCTCCTAAATAGGATAATATAATAACCTGCATTAAGGTGCCACAGCCTCAACCCCCTTTATTATTATGGGGAATTTAATATTGATATAGAGTAACTACAATAATGCTGTATACATAATTTAACAATAAAAAAAAAATAAACATAAACTAAAATACAAAAGAAGGATATTTAAAAATATATTTAATGTTAATTTGCAGCACGTGTGGGAAGTCGTGCTCTTCAACGGCTATCACCAACGGAAAGGGCTTCAGCCATTCTCTCTTTAGCTGACTTGTTAGTAAACAAGAAGGATGTCATTTTGGAAGCAAATTCAAAAGACCTTGAGGTAGCAACCAGGGATGGTCTCGCTAAGCCTCTACTGAATAGATTAGCTCTAAGTGAAGGAAAACTGAAGACTTTGTCCATAGGATTAAAACAAATTGCTGACTCTAGTTACGAGAACGTAGGACGAGTTTTAAGAAAGACTAGATTGGCTGAGAATTTAACGCTACAACAAGTAACGGTTCCTATTGGAGTATTGTTAGTTATATTTGAATCTAGGCCTGATTCATTGCCACAAGTAGCTGCTCTTGCTATGGCATCGGCTAATGGACTCCTTCTAAAAGGTGGTAAAGAAGCTGCTCATTCAAACAAAGCACTTATGGATTTAGTGAAGGAATCTCTTAGTTCAGTTGGTGCTGATGATGCTATATCTCTAGTCTCGACTAGGGAGGAAATTAGTGACTTGTTGGCAATGGAGAAACATATAGATTTGATTATTCCACGTGGATCTTCTGATCTTGTAAGGAATATTCAGAAACAGTCTCAGCACATTCCCGTGCTTGGTCATGCTGAAGGCATTTGCCATGTGTACTTAGACAGAGATGCGGATCCCGCTAAGGCATTGAAGATTGTTCGTGATGCCAAATGTGACTATCCAGCTGCTTGTAATGCAATGGAAACATTGCTTATTCACGAAGATCACCTTAATAGCTCTCTATTTACTGATATATGCACTATGCTTAGAAATGAAGGTGTAATAGTACATGCAGGTCCAAAATTATCCAGCCAGTTAACTTTCGGACCACCACCAGCAAAATCCATGCGTCACGAATATGGTGCACTGGAATGCAGTATTGAAGTCGTTAAAGATTTGAATGAAGCCGTTGACCATATCCACAAGTTTGGAAGTTCGCATACTGATGTAATCATTACAGAAAACGGTATGATATGGTGTTTATTTATATACTTTTATATTTAATATAAGATAAAACGACATACAACTAGAAATAAGGAAGTTATTAATGTAACAGTTATCAAATAGATATGAGAATTATTTCAAGGTAAACAATGTAGTGGTGAGCAAATAGTTGTTGTTTATTTTGTTACATATTTGTAGATTTCAGTATAAGCCTTGAACTGTAATTATGTGATATAACTATATTGAACAAACAACAGGATTTTGTAGTAATATTATCTTTTATCACCATAATACACAAATATTGTAAGGTAACTTTAAAAATAACAACAACTGAATTTAGTAAAAGGAAATAAGATGTAGCAATGATGCGCAAAAATATGGAATGTACGAATCAGATGAATTCAACAATACGAACATTAATGATAATATTTAACATTGTTTCACTGGAAAATGTTTGTTCAATTGATTGGGGCTGATTGAAGTATCTGGAAACAATCACATATTTATTAAGTTACATAATAATAAAAATATTATTGTTATTCATTCATCCATTTATATTTACATATTTTTTATATTTTAATTTGTAATTGTGTAATTTGCGTTTATTAATATTATACATATTAGTAGAGAGTCAGTCGATGTAGGTGGCTCAGGACCATTCCTTGTGACAAACTCTGGGAGAGACCTATGTTCAGCAGTGGACAGATAACGGGTAATATAATGTTGATGATATATATCAGTGGAGGGGTCCTCAATTAATATATTATGATCCGATAGGCCATGTTCTAGTTGAGAATCTTCGGAACCGGTACATGTATGAGACGAGTTTTGAAATATTTACGTTCAATCTTTTTCTTAACTTGTCTTATGTATGCTAGTGATTAATGTAAGGACAGAACTTTTAGACATTTATTTCTCTCTACCTACCCCGAAAGGGACTTTTCGTGATATATAGATATAATGTATTTCATTATAATTTAATAAAAATATAAACAAACAAATAATTGAATGAACAAATAAGATAGTCTGCTGATGTCTAATAGTAGCACTATAAATAAAAAAAAGTAATTAATTGATTGAAGGTTTCGATTTGTTATCATAAGTATCTTTTTATTACATAAGATTTATTATTTTTTACAAATTAAATTTAAGTTACTCGAAAAAAGTATTCAACTAAAAAATAATATGCAAAAAATATGTTAATATTGCAGAAAGCACGGCAAAACAGTTTTTGAGCTCCGTGGACAGCGCGTGTGTATTCCACAACGTTTCGTCACGCTTCGCTGACGGTTTCCGCTTCGGCCTCGGTGCTGAAGTCGGCATTTCTACGGCCAGGATTCATGCTAGAGGTAAAATAATTGCATACCATACAGTTATTACTATTTTAAAAAGATTTAGGTGTTGATAACAGATACATTCAGTTTATTATGTCTGTTTCTAGTTGTCTGGGAGTTATCTATGTATTACATGTAGATATATTTTCTTCACAAAAACATCTATTTGATATCTAATATTCACAGTATAAAGCTCTTTTTTATTTGGTACTAGAGAACACTATATAATACTAGCTTTTACCGGCGAATTCATTCGCGTGACCAAAATTTGCGTTGAGCGGGATAAAAAGTATCCTATGTCCTTTCCTATCTCGAAGATCTTTAAGACAATTGGTTAAACTGTTAAGGTGCAAAAAGATAAGACAAGAGATAAACATATTTTCACATTTATAATATTACTGAAGTTCTGCAGCGTGATTTATTTATTTGTTTATAGTGGCGTGCAGCAGTTATTTTAATTAACGTGATGTTTGTATTGACAAATTGATGTTTATATTGTAAAACGGCCTGCAGGCGCATAATTGCAAAGTAAACATGTATCACATTGATTAGGGGCATATATGCTAGGACAGCTATAGACCTGTTTGTTCTCTAAATTACTCAACTAGGCTTTAGAACTTGCACAATGCTTCAGAGAAGCAATTCAGTAGTTTATAGGTTTCGATTGTTTCATTGGTTATTTGATTATAATGATTTTGTTTAATTCCGCTACCATTAGTATGTGTGTGACTGTCAATACTCGAAGATTGATCACTATTGTTACTACCAGAAATTCTACAACCTTCCATATTAGCCCTAAATTTCTGACTACCATTACGTCCACGCACGTTTTGTGTTTTACCTATAAACAAGGTATATTCAGGTAAATTATAAGATCGTTGCTCGGAGTGGCGGGATGGCAGTCGGAGATTGTGGTTTAGTATGAAAGGTTGTAGGACTTCTGGTAGTAATGATGGTGGTCAATCTTACTAATGGTAGCAGAATTAAACAAAATAATTCTAATCAAATAACCAATGATGTAAACTTCTAGAAGATAACATCTATTTCTATATTATATTTGATTACTTTGTCAAACTAGTTAATACATATAAAAATAAAATACGATAAATATCTAACTAAGCGTAATCTTTTTTATAATTTCACTATTTTCTAATACGTATATTGTTAAAAAATTCTGACTTAATGTACATATGTTGTTAAAATATTCCGCCTAACTGTAAAATAAACTAAATCCGAAAATTCATATAAATTAATATATTCTTTTAAATGTTCATACTGTAAGCTTAGAATATGATTCCTTTTAATTTTAATAATAATAATAACAATCCTAATATTATATTATACTTGGCTAAAATATAATAAGACTAACTGACTACAATTTGCGTAACATTTTATGTACGTCATAGAAATATTTTAGAATAATATTAGACGTAATGACCGTAAAATGGTAGAGTTTAGTATAACTCGCTTAATAATAATAAAGAGAATAAGTAGGTAATTTGTTTTATCTATTTTTGCTGTATAACAGTTCCTAGTTATTATTATTATTAATTTAAATAACTTTGTTAAAATATGGTACAAAAGGTGGACTTATTGCTAGTAGCATTCTCTACCAGTCAACCTTAGGGATTATTAAGTATGTGAAATACTTTTTAAGATTAGGGTATGATGGGGTTGACATATCCCTATAGGATAAAAGCCTAAATAAAAGAGACAAAAAAACCTGAGGGATTTTTTTTTGTTTGAAGGAACAGTAAATTACGAACGCGGTACTTCATTATTGGGATAGGTAAAGAAAATAACAGTTATTAATGTATACCTGCATGATATATGTATATATATATATATATATATATATATATATATATATATATATATATATATATATATATATATATATATACATATATATTAGATAAACATATAAAATGTAAATAATATATAAATAAATAAAATATAAAAGTTAATGAGTACCTACTATTGTTGTAATGAATTCATAAAGTGAGCGTGAACTTTTTTTAACACCAATTTATTTTCTATTATTATACAATTTTAACAAAGAAAGAGAAAGGATTCGTATAAAAGTTGATGCTCGTGTGGGCATTTTTTATCTTATTCATGTTTTTGTCACTAAGCAGTGCTATTTTAGTATTAAATCAGTGAAATTACAAGGTACAGAAGTGTAACGCTTTAATTTTCAGAAATATCAACGCATGAGAGATACTATTACCACTTTCCATCAGGTGGGCCGTCAGCTTGTTTGTCATTCTAAGTTGTATAAAAAAAAAAAAACACTATAATCTGCAAAGTTCTTGACGCTTGACGCATATAGAGAGTACTATATGTAAATGAATGTAAAGATGCGTGTAAAATTATGTTCACGATATTTAAAGGCCAGTAACGTTGTGCGACTCCTTTCGTGTTGCAGGTGTTCATGAGCGAAGGTAGTTACTTTCAATTAGGTGAACCGTCTGCTTCCCTAACAATAAAAAAAAAATTACAAATAAAAAAAAAGCATTCAACGCTTCAAAAGTAGAAATAGAAAACTTTACAATAAATTTATTAGTAATAGTAGTAGTAGTAAATAGGCATTATCAATAAAAGTAATGATGTAAAAAATATCGAAAGTAAATAACAAATTAAGTTTAATAAAGGTATAATGACATCACTGTATGTTAATTTTTCAGGACCCGTTGGTGTCGAAGGTCTCCTTACTACTAAATGGATATTGGAAGGCACCGACCACACAGCGGCTGAATTCAACGAAGGCAGAAGGACGTGGCTTCACGAAAAATTGCCTGTAAATTGACTATGTATTAAACAACGTATAGGATTATGGAGTAAATTGAAAAATATTTTTATAAGAAATCATTGATATAATGTTAAATACATTTCTATTGCCGATGAATATTTTCAAAAATGTTCAATAAACAACTTTATAATTAAATATTATATATATGTATAATTGTACCTATACATACGATTGGTTTATTTATTGTTTTGTAACAATTTAATTATATCTATGTTGAATTAATAAGAGGTTTATTATTAATTATTTGCTCAGGTAAATTTCCAAGTTCCAATAAGCAATATGTCACAATATAGATACAATTTTATAGATATTTATATAATACAATTTATAAATAACTTTGATAGATACGAGCATATTATTGTCATATAGGTAATATTTTTACTATAGGATGACAATATAAAGGTAAGTTTGTATTATTGGTACTCGTGAGGAGTGAAGGTAAAAAGGAAGGAATAGAAAAGTAAGAATTAGTCAAGCCTTGATAGTTGCCAGGGGTACTACGTAAAAATCAACCTGACAGAGATTGATGTTGCTAGTAAGTCCCAAGATCTTCTCTCTTCTCCAAGAAGCCTAAATTAATTTATTTTTAGAAGTTCCCGCTACTGAAAATCCGTTTATATATAATTAATCTAAATAATATATACATAGTTCGCACTAAATTAATAATAATACTGGAAACTAGAAAACTATATTTAAGTTAAATTATTATGAAATTACAATAATTAGAATAATTAAAAAAAAAAAGAATCTTAAAACATTTCCTAAAGAAACATAGGTTAAAAAACAAAAAAAAATCTTGAGCCTATCGTAACATTATGGGCCTATCAATTTTATTATAGGAGTCTGTAAAATGTTTAATTCATTCTTTACAGAACAATAAATAACAATTCCGAACGTTATCAACCAAATATAAAACAGAATTTTCCATTGTAATAAAGCAACACAAGGGCAGTAATTTATAAAAACCTTGGCGCTGTATTGTACTCAGATTACATACCTCGTTTGAGATAAATCGATGTGTATCTATATTTTTAACGACGTCTTTATTTTTTAAAATGGAATTGAAAGGGCCTGGTAAGGATATATCGGTTCATTACAGGCACATATTTATTTATTTAGGAACTTTTTAAAAATCTGTTTATTAAATATCTGTTACAGCGCCATATCTCAGCAACTGCTAAAACAATCGATTTGAAATTTGGAATAGTTTTAAATATTGTTGGACCACATGTTTGTTAATATTTTTATTTTCTTTGTGAGGGTTTAAAATAAAGGAACCTACTAGTGGAATGCCATATGGAAAGGACTCATTTAAATATATTAAAATTGATTTTTATTTACTTTTATGATTACGTTTTTGATTTCTAATTGGAAATATGAAAAAAAAATACCATTCCTTCTTTACCTTCGCCAATTATGCAAAGTAATTTTAGCCTATAAAGACATATTTTTGAGAAATTATCAAAAAACTTTCAAAAACCAACTTAGTTATGCCAATTTTTAATCAAAATTATGACTCAAAAAAAGAAATTACGAAATACACAGTATTATCTATTTCGTATAATCAATACCAATTATTTTATCTTATAATTATGTATTTACGGAACCCTCGTTGTGAGTATTTAACTCGTACCTGACTGCTTTTATTTTTGTATTTCAGTACTATTAAAAAAAGAATCGAATCCTCTGTAATACTCGAGTACTTGTATGGGTATTCGAATACTTTAACAAACCCGAGTACATCTACGACTGATTTCTGAAGTTCACTTTTATGAAGATAATAAATGTTCAATGATCTTATAATTTTTCCTCTGGTGATTGAGGAAAATATAAATAAAATACTGAAATAGAAATGGAAAAACTTATAACAAACATACGAGTAGTATTCGAGTATCGTAAGAACTCGAAATGTGTATTCAAATACCGAGTACCGAGTTCTATAAATTGAGTATTAAAGTACCTGAGTACCTATTGGGTATTCAAGTCAGTACATGATTTGGGACATCACTATTGCAATCCACCTACTTCCGCATTGCATGCAGTTGTGGTTGAATGTAGGGAGACCACTAACCTATTACAGTCAGATAGACTGTTTATAATAGATTAGCGGTTATATCCGGGGGATGGGTGAAGAATTTCCGGAACTGTGATTGCATGAGACGAGTTATGAAAGTAGATGAAATGAAAGATGTATGTAAAGGCCTTTACTACTCGCTTAACTCTGCTGAGATTGAGTTTGAAGGTAGACAGGTCGTTCTTTATTCAGGTATTTATAATAATAAGTAGTTTGCATATATAATACGTATAAAATTATTAGACGTGAAAGAAAAAAGCGAATTCAGGAATAGAGATGACAGTGGAATATTGGAGAAGAGAGTAAGATTGGTGCATCTAGAGTAGGTACAGGCAATAAGTCTATAGCTGATCATCATTCATCATTATTTCTATTGTTAAATGTCAATTGCTCAATATAGGTGTCTTCTACATATTTGTATCTTGCGAAAACTAAACAAACGATTAGAAGCACTATAAATGAAAACCATGCACAGAATTTATATAAAAACACTTTAGAAGTATATATACATTTACATAATAACAGCGAAACTGTAAGATTTATAAAAAAACTTACTCTCTGAGTAAGTAAGATGAAGAATTCTTAGCTCTCGCTTGTCTAGAGATACCCATCTCAGCATTACTATTACAGAAATTGCTTTATGCACTTACTGCACCCGACTTAAAGTTAATCCTTTAAAGCAAAGATCTGCTGAAAGATGAATAATACATTATTCAAATTCCAGTATCGTATATAACGGTATCAATGATGTTTTAAATACATAGATGTACTGTTTTCTTGATATATTTTTATAATAATAGCAATGATATAATATATATAATAATAGATATAATAATAGCTTATTCGTGGGTAGACGCACACTTGTTAAGTCCGAAATTTTTGTGCTCTTAATTTTTTAAATTTTTTAAATATATATACATATAAATTTCTTTATGTATTAGATTATATTTAATCTGCATTTGGTTGACTCCTGATAAACTCACTCACCAAGTTTTCATCACTTACTTTGCAATGGATACCACAGCTGAACAACTTAAAAAAAGCATGGATGAACTATCATCTGTGTTCAACAGCCGCATGGAAGAATTTGAGAAAGGCGTACAGCAGCAGGCCTCTACTTCGTCAGGTACCACAGTGAAGGGTCTATCTGCCGACTATGCTACATTTAAAACATTTATATGGAAGTGTCTTGGATTACTAAAATCACAGGTGGAGTTGCTTCAACTTGGGCAAGACCGTCTAGATACCCACTCCCGCAGAAAGACCTTGCTTTTTCATGGTGTAAAAGAGATTCCTGGTGAGGACATCTCTAAGAAGCTGTTGGAGGTGTTAACCGACAAAATGAAGTTGAAAGGTATGGGTCCTGATGTTATTGAATCTTGCCACAGACTCGGCTCTAAGAAGGATTCTGCCCGTCCTATTATTGTGCGGTTTGCATCACTGCGGTTTCGATCCATGGTATGGAGGGCTAAAACTATTTTAAAAGGCTCCAAAACATCTATTTCTGAGTTCCTTACAAAAGCACGGCAAGATGTATTTGTTGCGGCTCGTAATCACTTCGGCGTGAGGAAGTGCTGGTCTGCGGATGGCATTATAGTTATTCTTCTGCCTAATAAAGATCGCAAGAAGATAGTTTCAATGGCTGAATTGAAACTGCTAATCGCTGAGTACCCAATGAACGCGTTATAATTTAGACAGGTTGCAGTATTTTCTATTTTAATACTTTGCTATTTTGTCGGTTTATTACTGAGCACACTTAACTATTCTCTTATTATTTTTTTTTTTTTTTTTAGGGTACCTTAAAATATGTTGCTCAATTTCTAAAATTATATTAATTTACCTAACTTGATAGATAATTGTGATCAGTGTTTGATTGTCACTATAGTATTGATAAACAAATTAATCTGAACTCTCATGTCACTGTCAAAGTTACTTATAATAATTGTGGCTATGGTATATATTTAATATACTTTAACGTTTCGTTTCTGTATATCACTGATTTGTAATAGCTATTATTGTTTAAGTTTAGACTGGGTGCCCGCTATTCTTCAGCTATAGCTGTTTTATATTATATTGTTATAGCTGTTATTTTGTTCGTTATTGTTCATTGTAGAGTGGGTTTAGCCTATCAAGTCAACCTACGCAATTAAGGCAAAAGTAATTAATTTTTGTTATTTTTACAAATATTGTTTTTTTTTTTTTTTATAATAAGTTTTTATTTATTTTTTATTTTTATTTAAATTTATTTTTATATATGCCCATAAATGATGATTATTTTTCTTGCTATTCCTCCGATGATTTTGATAGTGCTTCGAGTCATAATTCCTCTTTATCTGATTGCGATCCTATTGAAGATAAATAGCGGACTGTTTTCGACAATTATTCCAAACAACTTTCCCTTGTACATATAAATGCGCAAAGCATATTAGCTCATTATAATGACCTTCTTACCTCTTTCAGTGCTGGCTTAGTGGATTGTATCTTAGTTTCTGAGACCTGACTTAAACCATCTCTTCCTTCCACTAGCTGCATAATACCTGGGTATAAACTCTTTCGAAACGATCGCATCACGTCTGGGGGTGGAGGTGTGGGGATTTATCTACGCAACCAAATCTCTGCCGAAGTAGTGTGTACATCGCAACCGCAGTTCTCTGGGTCTCTGGAATATTTGTTTCTCTCCTTATCTCTCCATCACAAAAGAATCCTACTTGGTGTCTTGTATAGCCCTAATGACAAGATTGATTACTTTAATATCTTGGAAAATACTCTAGATAACTTGGTTCCTCTTTTTGATCATGTTATACTTATGGGTGATCTAAATACATGTCTTTTGAAAAATGACCATAGGACTGGCAAACTTATTGCTTTAACATCAGCCCTTGATCTCCAGGTCTTGCCTATGCCTAAACCTACTCATTACTTCCACAACAGCAGACCTTCCCTTATTGACTTAATCATAGTTTCACAACCAAATTTAGTATTCTCCCATGGACAAATTCTCCTTTCTCACAGCATGATTTAATTTATCTGTCCTATAAAGTGCGTCCCCCTAAAAACAGGAATAGGACTCATTTACTTCGCGATTTTCAGCATATGGATGTTGAGCGTTTGAGGGAGGATATGGGGAGTATTGATTGGTCTCCCTTGTTGT